GGGGGGGGGGGGGGGATCCCGGCTGTGTAGATACGCTCAGCACATACGGTACAGATGCAGACCCTCTGTAAGGCGGGTTATATATGGCGGGTGCCCTCTATTTGGCGGGTGAAATCTCTTGGCACACATGGAATATTCAAGACGGACAATGCATTGAATACTGCGGACGCCCGCAATAGGGCGGGTGAATCGGTCTGGCGCATACCCGCCTTACAGAGGGCCTACGACTGTAAGCGAAACATAGTGCTGTTCGACGAGACCGATCAGGCCCCTGAACGTGTAAAATGGTACCTCCGATTCGACGGCCTCTAGGTCTACCAAGAGGTTCGTAGCCGCGCCCAGCGTGGCGAAGACCTTGGACTCGCCGGCGTCCACGCCCGCCATCTGCATCGTCGCGAACTGCGCCGAGACCCGATTGTCCAGCCCCTTCTTCAGCCTGTCTCGTTTGTCGTGTCGAATGTCGCGGGATTCGATTCGATCACACGAAAGGGGGATACGCAGATGGATGGCCGAGGGGGGTACGCAGCAGTATCATACAGGCGCATGGGTTGAGGCGCGCGAGTGTCTGTAGATGGTTCTTCACGGAAGTCGATTCGATCGTGCGGGGGAGGGGGGGGTACTACTGTTTTGCACGCCCTAGCAGTTAAACCGTTCGTTGACGATGCGTCCTCGAGCAGACGGAGGGGGGGCGTTACGCAGAGGGATGACCGAGGGGGGATACGCAGCAGCATCATGCAGGAGGATAGTCAAGGCGCGCGGTTGTCTTTGAACTGCTCTTCAGCCTGTTTCGGCGTGCCCGTCGTTCCGCGATTCGATTCGATTGGACGGAGACAAGGGGGTTACACAGTTGCATGCGGTAGGGTGGTCGAGGCGCGGTTGTCCAGAATTTCGTGATGTTCTTCAGCCTGTTGTCGAGGCCCGGAATATGCAACGACCGTCCAACAGATTCTCCGCGTCACATCGGCCGGGGGTGTACCTTCCTCTAAGCCCATACCCACCTTCCTCTACCTACAAAAATTAATAGTTCGCTCCCGCGCATTCAGACCTGCCCCCCCCTCCCTTCCCTCGCCCTCAGGACCTCGAAGACTCGCGGTCAACAACAAGGGCATGCGAAACATGAGTACGCTTTCCCCCCCCCCTACCCCCCCCTACCCCGACTCACCCTTCTAACGACTACGGCA